CGGTGTGGGAGAAACACTGAGGGTTGCGATCCGTTGCCGGACACGGAAAAAGACAAAAAAAAAAAAAAAAAAAAGAAAAAAAAGAAAAAAAAAAAGAACCCAGTTAAGGAAATAATGTTTTAAAATCCCCAGAATCTTAGAATATCTTCACAGAAGGTAAATCACAAGGGTCCTTAGTCCAGCTCTTTGCTGTGTACAAGTCTGGTGGCCCAGTTTTTGCTTGTGACACAAATCAACATGTGACTTCTAATTTTTTCTTTTTTGCCTAGTGGATGAGGATGCTTTTCCTTTTCTGTTCGTCTTTATGGGAACAGACATGAGAGGGGCAAGATGGGTAGGGGACGGGTGGGGACAGAGAGTAGGGGAGCTGTCAGTGAGGAGGACTCACCCCTGTTGCTTTCTGCTTAGTGTAGGCATATTTATCCCGAGTCAGTCTTTCAAAACGGTAGGTCGGTGCAAATGTGATTTCCTCCTCCTCTGAAACAGAGAGATTTTGATTTCAAGTTTTGTTCCCCAAGTTGCACATCTGGCCAAGTTTCCCTATTCTCCAGGCATAATCCTTCTCCTGGTAAGGCTATCTGGGGAGAAGGAAAGAAGGCAGATAGCTGGAGAGGGACCGAGAGGAGAGAATGGCGTCCTTACCAAAGTGCAAGAAGACCTTCTGCTCTTTCCTCTCCGTGAGCAGCTGGTCATGGCACAGGAGTTCTGCATATTGCTGCTGCTTGATTTTCTGGATAATGGTTTCTGCCTCCTGGAACAAGGACATGCCCAGGCCATGGGTGAGACACCCCTTCTGATCTGTGCCTGGCAAGCTAAGGGGCTGCAGCCAGCCAGCTGGATGGCCTCAGTGGCAGAGTGATGGTGAGGAGGGGTGGCCATGACAGTTACATGGGAACTAGGTGTGAGCAGAGGGGAACCGCAAAGAAGGGCTGAGCCTCCATAACAGGAGCGGCATTGAGTCCCTGTGGGACTTGCAGGGCCTTGCGTCTCTGTGACCGTCTGCCCTGAGTTGGCTCAGGGAGCCTCTGTCTGTGCAGCCCCAGGCCGGGTGGGCAGCTCCTTACCCAGGTGGGCAGCGGCAGGGCCTTGCGTCTCTGTGACCATCTGTCCTGAGTTGGCCCAGGGAGCCTCTGTCTGTGCAGCCCCAGGCCGGGTGGGCAGCTCCTTACCCAGGTGGGCAGCTCCACGCGGTAGTTGAGATCTCCAAACCAGAAGAGGTGGGTGAAGCGGTGAGTGACGTTAAAGGGACTCAGTTTCCTGTCTCCCAGGGCCAGGAACCGGAGAATGTTCATATAGTTTTGGTTTCGCCTAATTCAGGGAAAAAGCAGCCATCTAGCACGAGAGTCACTGGTTTCCCCCTCTGCTATGGCAGGAAGTTCAAGGGGGTTTGAGGGGAGCTGAGGCTTAGACCCCCAGCCTGCTGCAGTAGGTGGGGCATGGCCAGATGCAAAGGGCCTTTGAGGCCAAACTGGGAACACCGAGTGTTGGGGGAGCAGAATCCACTCAGCAAGGAATGGGAATAGTGAATATTTGGATGGTGGTCTTTGTGAGTGTGCTACCAAAGACAAAACTGGTTCTGATCCATAAGGATGTCCCAGATGGGGTTTTACCCTCTAGAAATGGAGTGGTATTTAGGTGTCCACTAGGTTAATGACACAAGGAAACGTCTTTTCTGACCTTCAGACAAGATTTATCCACACGAGAGGTCACTACTGTGCTGCAGTTGCCTTTAATGAGACCACAGAGAGCCTTAAAGGCTGACAGGACACCCAGAAGGTCCCAAGTGGGGACAGAGCAAGTCATGATGGTCTGTGGGATGTGAGGTCTGTCTGGGCAAGTAACTCAAATACGGGCTCTTGGTCCTGGGAATGAGCTCCATTACCTGAGTTTCTTTTCACTTCCTGAAGTCAGGTGGCTGTTAACAAATCCCAAGGAGGTTCCATTGAACATGAATGACACCCCCACAGCTCCCTTGTTCCCTAAAGGTGAGAAGGAGAAAGAAGCATTAAAATATCAAACAGGCAAACTTGCCATGGGGTAGGAAATCAAGGTAAGGCAACGTTATCCATAAAGAGCAAGAGAAGCAGGCAAGAAAGCAAAACAGGGTCATCTGGGGAGGGAGAAGTGGCGGGTGACAGGCACTGGAGCAGAGGTGAATGGCTGGCAGAGGGAGGCTGCCGGTGCAATCCACTCCTGGAACCTGCTCTGAAGGGGCTGTCTGTGGCCCACGTGCCAAGCAGGTAGGGATGATCGGAAGCAGCCAGAAGTCTTGGGAAGAAGACTCAGGAGGTGCCTCAGACTGGGCAGACTGACCTCCTACCCAACTACCTCAAGGTTTCTGGTGAGATCTAACACCTACTCTGAGATCACACCTTCTTCTGTCAATGTTTTAATCTATCCTAAAAGTATGTTCCCCAGACCAGCAGCAGCATCACCTGGGAACTTGTCAAAGTGCACATTCTCAGGCCCACCCCAGACCTACTGAATCAGAAATTCTGGAATGGGACCCAGTACCTTACTGTGTTTTACAAACCCTCTAGGTCATGGGTAGGCCAACATGGCTCGCCACCAGCTTAAAATGGTTTTTACATTTTTAAATGGTTGGGGAAAAAAAACAAAAGAAAAATAATCTGTTGTGACACATTAAATCTGAAATTCAAATGTCAGTGTTCATAAATAGCATTTGATTGGAACACAGCCACGTCCATTCATTAGGTATCACCTACTGCAGCTTTCAGGCACTACGATAGAGCCAAGTCATTGCAACAGAGGCTGCAAGGCCTGCACAGCCTAAAATAGTCACCGTCTGGCCTTTCACAGCAATATGTTGCCAACCCCTGCCGTAGGTGACTCTGCATGCGCTGAGGTTTGAAAACCTGCTCTGTCCAAGGCAGTAGCCATGAGCCACACCTGGCTATTGAGCACATGAAATGAGGCTGGTCTGAAATGAGATGAACTGTAAGTGTAAAATACACATCAGAATTGTAAGCCTTGGTACGAAAAACAGAATGTAAAATATCAAATAATTTTTTGTGTTGAAAACTTATCAAAATGATAACATTTGGATGTATGAGGTTCGATAAAATCTATTATTAAAATTAGTTTCACCTGTTTCCTTTTTCCTTTTCTGGTGGCTGGCTGGTGTGGGGAACCCTCAACCTTAATGTGACAACACCATGCTCTAACCAACTGAGCTAACCAGCCAGCCTGTTTCCTTTTATTTTTAATGTGGCTACTAGAAAATTTTCAATTATCTACTCGGCTCCTGTATCATTTCAGTTGGACAGCTCTGGGTAGACCTTAAGATGAAGGAAGCTTGGAAGATCATCTGGCTCAGCCTCTGCAGGACTCAGAGGAGGAACCCGCAGGCTAGAGGGTGTGTCAGCCGAAGCCAGTCAGGGGCAGAGCCAGGACGAGCACCCAGGCTTCCTGCCCTTGGCCCTTGCTTTTGCTCTCCACGCACCCACTCTGGAGGTCTCCCCTTCCCAGCTTTCACCCCTTCCTGCAGTGCGGCCTAGGGATGAACAGCTGGCTCTGGGCTCCTGACAACCTGGGTGTAAGTCCTTGCCCTTTACATTCTTATCACTGGGCCTCGGGCAAGTTATGGAACATCTCCATAGCCTCAGTTTCTTCATCTGTGAATGGGGATAATAAGGTCCCTGCCGCTGCAGGGTGCATTAAATGAGATAATGCTGGCAAAGCACTTGGCACTCAGCCTTGCATAGGGCACACTCAGAAAGGCCTTAGCTTTTCCCAGGATTGATGTCCTATCAGCTGGCTAGCAAGCACTGAGCTCCTGTCCAGGCTACTTAAGGCTGGGAGCCATTTCGGGGGAGGAGAGGAGGGAGGCCAGCTCCAGGGAAGGGAGGGGAGGTGGAGCAGGGGCAGGTGTGCATGAACTTCTCAGCCTGGGCCAAAGCTCTGACTCAGCCCGGGCCTCCCCTCTGCACCCCATGGACTTCAGTCCCACGGCCCTTCTCAGAGAGGGGAGGTGGAGCAGGGGCAGGTGTGCATGAACTTCTCAGCCTGGGCCAAAGGTCTGACTCAGCCCGGGCCTCCCCTCTGCACCCCATGGACTTCAGTCCCACGGCCCTTCTCAGAGAGGCCCCCGGCCTCCCATCTCCGGTCATGGCGCTGCCTGTGCCCTATCCCACACTCTCGCCAGCACGTCACTCTCGGAAACCATCATCTTTTCCGCCTGTCACTCACTTGTTGTGTCGAGTCCACACGAGCAGGGTTCCTGTCTGCTCAGTGACTAACCCAGTGCCCGGCTCTGAGCCTGGCACAGTCGGCTCCGTTGGGATGGCCAGGAGCCCTCCGGGGCAGCGGCTGGAGGCGAGGGCGGTGTGAGCGTGGGCAGGCCGTGGGCAGGGCTGCTGGGGCAGCAGAAGCCGGGAGCGAGGGAGCGTGGACGCGGCAGGTTCCTGGGCAGCGCAGGGTGTGGCTCGCCATGACAGGAAGGAAGCAGGGACAGCAGGGCGTGGATGTGGACAGTTTGCGGTTTGTCAGCAGAAAAGCCACTCGATTGCAGCAGTTCTTCCATTTCCTGTTATCTCTGGGACTCTGGCCTGTCCTGACTCCAACTGCCACAAACCACTGGCCTCGCCCTGGACTCCTCGCACACCGCACATGCACGCGGACACTCAGGCTCACAGAAATGCACACGCACACGCACACACTGACATCGCAGGCTGACACAGCACACACTCACAGGCAGCGTGGGGCTCACAGAAATGCACACGCACACGCACACGCACACACTGACATCGCAGGCTGACACAGCACACACTCACAGGCAGCGTGGCCCACACACGGACTCACACTCATACAGACTCACACAGTCACACTCACAAACACACATCCAAAGACTCACATGCACCTACATAGGCTTTTGTTTTTATATGATCAAGGTGACATATTATTGTTGATGTTAACTTGATCATCTGCCTGAGACAGTGTTTTTTAGGTTTCTCCACTGTAAAGTTACTCTTTCCCCCCTTTCTATACTGTACTCTTTAGAAAGAAATCACTACGTGCAGCCCACACTTAAAGAACAGGGAGTTATACTGCACCTCTTTGAGGGCACAGTATCTACATGAATTATTCGGAATTCTTTAGCACAGGAGATTTGTCTCTTCTCTTCCATTTATTTATGTAGTCATTTATTTATTTCAGTATGGGCTCATGTATGTTTAATCTTTGAAGTATTATCCAATACTACTTTATTTATTTTGTTGCTCAAATTCTTCCAGATTTGGCCACAGAGAGATCTTTCGTTAACCCTTGCGTCCCTTTGACATACCCCTGCTATAAGTGGGTGCTCTTTTGAGCATTTCCTTGCTTTCTGGCACTGTAAGATGCTCCGTATGGCTCATTCCCGGCCCTAGCCCTAGAATCGGCCATTTCTCCAAGGAGCTCTGGTTTAATTTATTGAAGAATGACATCAGAAACTAGATCTGGGCTCTAGGTATGGCTGTTATCTTTTTAAATATTGCACCTGCTCCGTTTGCTCTCTGCTGTCCTTTTTGGACTCCAGTTACATGTATATTAGATCTTTTCTCTGTATTCTTCTCTGTGTTATACTCTTTCCTGGATAGTATTTTGTGCTCTTTTCTGAATAACTAACCAGCATTCCTACATACCTGTCTTTCAGTTCGCTAATTTTCTTTTCTGTTGTGTCTGATCTGGTGTTAAACTGATCTACTGGGTTGGTGGTTTGTTTGTTTTTTTTTGGTGGCTGGCCAGTATGGGGATCTGAACCTTGACCTTGGTGTTATAACTCTGCTCGCTAACCAGCTGAGCTAACCAGCCAGCCCATCTACTGAGTTCTTAATTTCAGTAACTGTATTTTTCAGTTAGAATTTCATTTAATTATAGATTCCAATTCTCTAGTGAAATTCTTTTCCTCTATGTTCTCCAGACTCACATGCACCTACATAGGCTTTGACACTCACTCACATATAAGCTCACACACCCACACACGCTCTCACACACTTAAACACACACACACTCAGATACATACTCATGCACTAACACACTCACATAGACCCACTCATACACACACTCACTCACAAACATAGACCCACTCACACTCACACAAACTCACATACATAGACTGATGCACTCACGCACACACCCATAGACCCATACACTCACACACTCACACACACAGACCCACGCACTTACACACACAGATCCACGCACTCACACACACACACATATACAAACCCACGTACTCACACACAGACCCCCCACACACATACAGACATGTGCACTCACACACACAGACCCACGCACTCACACACACACACACAAACCCACGTACTCACACACACAGACCCCCCCCACACATACACAGACATGCGCACTCACACACACAGACCCAAGCACTCACACACACACATACACAGACCCACACACCCATAGACTCATGCACTCACACACTCACAGACTTATGCACTCATACACACACTCACATATAGACCCACACACTCACACACACATACATAGACCCATGCACTCACACACACACACACACAAACTCACATACAGACCCCCACACACACACACAGACCCACGCACTCACACACACATACACAGACCCACACACTCATACAAACACATACACAGACCCACACACTCACACACACACTCCCCCACTCTTACTTCAGTTCTCTGAAGCACCCTGATTAGTCCCCGCCGACTCGCAGCTGATACCCACGTTTCCAGATGCAGCCTGGGTGAACAGTGGTCTAGATCGGGGTCGGCAACCTACAGCTTGTGGCCAAAGCCAGCTGCGTGTGTAAATGAGCCTCCGGGAGTGCGGGCCTCCTGTTGACTGTGTCGGCCGTTGCTGTGCTTCACGCTATGATGGCCCCATCGAGCAATCGCATATGACCCACAAAGCCTAAAATATTTACTATCTGGCCCTTTCCAGGAAAAGTTTGTTGACCCCTGTGTTCTAGGTTCTTACTACTCAAAGTGGGATCCATGCACCGACCAGCAGCACCAAAGTCACCTGGGAGCTTGTTAGAAACTCAGGCTCCACCTGAGACCTACTGAGTTGGAACCTGCATGTTAGCCAGATCCCCAGAAGTGCTGGTGTAGACCCCAGGTGAGTTTTGGATAGGGGGACCAATGTCTTGGTTTGCCCAGGACTGAAGGCATCCCAGGATGTGAAACTCTCAGTTTTTAACCCAGGGAAGTCCCTGCAGGATGAGACGGACATGAGAGAGAGACAGAGCGTGCTGTGAGAATGGGGTCCCCTCCCTACTCACCCAGCGTGTTCGCGATGCCCGTCTTCACATTGTCTGTGCAGACGTGGCTGATGCGGTTCTCATGCTCTGGCTTGGCCAACACCACGATGCGGATGTTCCAGAGCGTGTGGATGGCAACCTGGCAGAGAGGACACGTTGCAACACTTGGCCAAGGTGTGGTGTTTGAACCCTTAGCCCTGGCCCCTGGGTGTGAGGCACTCTGACTGTAATCCCTAACCTTCAGGGGATTCCTAACAATGACTGACGGATGAAACAAAGCATCTTAAAGATGAGAACAGGGGCAGCCACTATTTCCATGAAGTCAAGATTATCTCCTACAAGCAAGGGTGGGAAGATAGAGGACTCAGTGATTTTCAGCAACACCCCACAGACCTCATCAATTTCTGAACAAAGCAACTGGATGTGTCTCTCCGGCCCTGAAAGTGGGGGGACCACTGAGCCCCCAGACATCTCTGGAAGTTGAGAGATGATAAGCCAAGCCTACTCTGAGATGCTCTCAGCAGAGCAAAGCCCCACCCGGAGTCTCCCCCCCAGGGTGTGGCCAGCTGCTCACTGTTTTAAAAGTCATGCTGGTGATTTCTTGCAGGGAGTGCTTGAGCATCTCCAGCCACTCCTTCTCTCCCAGGGGGTCCTCCTGGGTGCCGATCACATAGATGTCATGTGGGATGTAGTCGGCAGAGTCGTCCCGTGTCTTACCCTGCCCCTTGGAGAGAAACCAGGACGTGATCTTCTTGGGAGGGGGGGCGTTACCTTCAACAGCAAAACCCAACACCAAGTGAGTGAAAGGCACATGCAGTCAACGGCATCAGGAGAATTCACAACAGAGAGCGGGGGAGGCATGGGGGTGGTCGCATACCCACGCAAAACCATTCAGGCAGCCTAAAGAGATGCCTTCGATGGGGACTAAGTGCCGAGATCACCCAGGATGTCAGTCAGGGTCAGAGCAAGGTTGAGTCTCTTTTGAAAGATAACATTCAGTTTCAAAAACTAGAAACACCAGAAGATTTTCGATTGTGACTGGACTAATTGGACAAGATGTCCAACACCGTCCTACGCTTTTGGGCTGCAACAGCAATTGAGACAGTCCTGTCCCTCAAGGAATTTCCGTCCATTGGCGAGACAGCCAAGTAACCTGACACGTTTAGGATGGCAGCTTCTAAGCCATTGTTAGGAGGCAGCACAGGCTTCCTTGCGAAAGCGACCTCAGCTGAGAGCTGAGACAGGCAGGTGTTAGCCAGAGGACT